CATGAAAACCAGAGGGCAGCAGATCATTTTAAAATATATTTGTGTCATTCTCAAAACCTTTGGCCATGACTGTATTTTTTTTTTTTTTTTGTAATTTAATTTTATTTCCTCTACACGTTTTGGGGAGTAACCGCCATTTCTATGTGACAATATCAGCAGCGACAGAAACATAAACAATGGAGGGAAGAGGGAGATGCGCTTTTTGTGGGGGGAGCTAAAATCCTATTTATAGTTTTCCAGGCAATACTGGAACACACGAAAACATGCACAGATGACTTCAGTTCAACCATGTAAGTGGAGACACATTGTTGATGTTACTATTATAAGATAATTTGCAATTAAGTATTGGCAAAGATCAATGTAATTTTCACAGGTATTAGCAGCTGCTGAAGGTGTCATGATCCGTGTTTCTGTGTGTTTATTTTGAGATTTTCTGTGTTCAGTCCCGTTTTCCTGTAAGTCTCTGTCCTGTCCTCCCCGTTGATTGTTTACCAGGTGTGTCTCATCCCCTTGATTACCCCGTGTGTATTTAAACCCACCTGTTGTCCTTGTCTCTTGTCGGATCCTTGTCGTATGTCGTGTGATGCCTGTTTCTTCGTGCTGTTCCCCGTTGTTCTGTACCTTGGAAATCATCATTAAATTAATCATTTTCACTTCATCCTGGATCTACCTACATCCTTATCCTCACCACAACAAACCACCATCATGACAGAAGGTAACTAAAAAAGTTACTTTTAATGTAACTTAGTTACTTTCCAAATCAAGTAATCAGTAATCTAACTAAGTTACTTTCTCAAGGAGTAATCAGTAATCCAATTAGTTACTTTTTCAAAGTAACTATGCCATCACTGGCCATAATAGTTGTAAGGACAAACACATATTGCTCAGTGCATTACTAAATATACTGTATATTCAACATTTAAAATGCACAGCTCTAGAGACTATGTATGTATTATAAAGTCTGATAGCCTCGGGCAGAAAAGACTTGCTGTAGCATTCTTTAGAACATCTGGGCTGCAGTAATCTTTGGCTATGTCTGCTCCTTAGGCCGTCCACCATGCTGTAGAGGGGATGAAAGGCATTATCCTTGACAGCTCTGATGATCTTCAGCATTCTGTCTCTCATCACCTCTTCCAGTGGAGCCAGCTTGATCCCCACAACTGACTCAACCTTTCTTATTAGTTTGTTGAGTCTGTTTAAGTTTTTCACCTTCATTGTAGCACCCCAGCACACCACTGCACTGAAGATGGAACTAGCCACTGATGACTAATAGAACATGAAGAGCATCCTACTGCAGATGTTAAAGGACCTGAGTTTCCGTAAAAAATAGTCTGCTCATGGCCTTTTTGTACAGCACATCAGTGTTTGTAGTCCACTGTAGCTTCCAGTCTAAGGTAATACCAAGATTGTAAGATCGAGCCTACTCCACATCTACCCCTGAGATGGAGATTGGGACCAAATGTGATTTCTTTCTTCAGAAACTGACAACCATTTTCTAGGTCTTGTTCACATTAAGCAGGAGTTGGTTCCCTCCGCACCACGTCACAAAATTGTCCACCAATTCCTGTGCTCCACCTCCTGTCCCCCTTCAACACACCCCACAACAGCCATGTCACCTAAGTACTTTTGCAGATGGTACAATTTGGAATAGTACTTAAAGTCCGCAATGTAGGTGGTGAATAGAAAGGGAGTCAGCACAGTTCCCTTCTCCAATGTTACATATTAGACGGTCTGACTTGCATCTCTGTAATCTCACATATTGAGGTCTGGCTATCAGATAGTCGATGAGCCAGGTGATAAGTGATGCATCTACGTCCATTTTAGCCAGCTTCTTGCGTAGTAATCTTGTGTACTGCATGGTGTTGAAGGCTGATAGAAAGGCAAAGAAAAGGATGTGGACAATGGTGTCAGGTCTGTCAAGGGAGGAATAGGCCCTCTGCAGCAGGTATATAATTGCTGCAATTTGCATACCATTAATGGTATGCAAACTGGAGAGGGTATTGGACTGCATCCACCTGTGACCTCATGTTTTGTGAAATTTTAGACAGGATCAGAGGTGATCGGCAACAAGAATGAGTCAACACGCTGGTCTGCTAGAATAAATCCCCACAGATTACAGCAAAGCAATGCTGCACAGCAAAGCAATCATTCACACACTGATATGTGATGCTATATATTTTTGTCCTCTAATATATCTCTCGCTCTTACCTTGACACATGGATCGGAGAGCCGTCGATCCAGGCAGAGTAGCAATCACGTGCCGGGCGTACGTACGCGACCCACGGTAGACTCTGCCAAGACGAGGGACTACCCCGATTTTATACTCTTTAACAAGCATCCTTGCGTGAGAGTGAAGAATGGCCACTTCCTCCCTCCCAGGCAGGTTCTCCAAGAATAGTGTGGCCATTTCCCGTTTCATATCTGACCACTTATTCCAGCCATTGTTCGAATCAGGTCAGAATGACCTCTTACGACATGACCCTCCCAGCCACTGTCCACGCGCTCAAGTCGTGTACAACAATACCTATCATGACCTCAGAGCATGATCAGGTTATATAACACATTTTATGAAGGTAGGTTATGCGTTACATAAAGAGTATATAAGACATTATCAAAGAACAAATATAATATTTCTATATCACCTCAGATGAGACTGAGGTGCAATCTTTCTAGCTGTGATACTCTTCCCTCAGATGTACCAGAACCAGCCTCTCCATAATCTTCTTAATGTGAGAGGCCAGAGCTATGGGTATATAGTCGTTCAGTGTTTTTGGAAGTATCTTTTTGGTACTGGGACCAAGCACAATGTTTTCCATAGTTCTGGTACTCTATGGAGCTTCAGGCTCAAGTTAAAGAGGTACTGCAGGGCTCTACTTAATTGACTAGAACATGTCTTTGGAACCTTCAGGCTGATGTTGTCTGGACCAGGGGATTTCCCAGGGTGAAGTTTCTCCAGCTCTTTTTTCACCTGGTTAGCAGTAACCATAAAACTACAAGCAGACAATGTGTGGGAAAAGAGACTGCCACTAGGAACTGGGGGAGTCAAACCGGTTAAAAAACTGGTTCAACTCATTTGCCCATCTGAGATCCTCCCCCTGCAGGGCCATTAGCTTTCCTCTTCAGTCCTATGATCTCTCTCATCCCAGTCCGAACCTCTCTGGCATTATTTTTTTATTTTTCTTCCAGCTTTCTGTTATGTAGAGTAGACGAGCTATAGTTTGTCTCTAATTAACCCTAATGAAAACTTGGTTTACCAGCAACATGCCGACTCAGCTTTCCAGATCAACTGTCTTCAGTAATTCCAAGCGGATCGCGACCACAGTACATACGGAGGAGGACTCTGTATGAAGGTTGGTTTACGAACTGTGGAAAAGGCTGCTGCTCTGAGGCGATAGAACTTATTACAGTGAAATGTCAGTCGTACTATCTGCGTTGGGAGTTTACTGCAATACTCATCACAAATTGTCCCACTGGGTGCTTATACTAATGAGACATGGAAGAAGCTGTACGACACCATTAGCTCACTGCAGATAAAGCACTCAGAGGTGTTTTTTGTGGTTGAAGGGGACTTTAATCGCGTGAAACTGACGGATGCTGCCCAGTTTTCCCAGCATGTTAGCAAGGGACCCCTCATTGCCAGATGCACTAAATAAGTTCTGTGCCCACTTTGAGGAGCCTAACATCCCCCTCAGCACCAGACTACCACCACCACCTGGTGACATGCCCCTCTGTATGACCACAGCAGATTTGAGGAAGACCCTCCAAGAAATGAACCCTCATAAGACTGCAGGCCCCGGCAACATCACAAGGTGGATAATGAGGGACTGTGTACATCAGCTGCTTGAGGTGTTGGTTTGATACTGGCTTCTGTCCCCACCTTCTTAAAGACTGCCATTATTCTCTGGGTCCTGAAGTGCTCAACAGGTCAGAAGTCCAGAAGAGCTGTGGAAAGCTGGACTTGGAAACTCAGTCCTGAGGAGCTTCTATTACTGTGTGGTGGAGAGCATTGTCTGCACCTGCATCACCGTGTGGCACGGCAGCTGCACTGCTGTTGAGAGGATGGCACTGCAGAGGGTGGTTAAGGCTGCACAGAGGACTGTGGGGAGCAGCCTTCCCACCACCCCAGACATCTGACTATCATCAAGCAGGAGGATGCTTCATACTATGATGGACTCCACCCATCCTGCACACTGTTCCAGACCCTTCCCTCAGGCTGAGGAGCATCCAGAGCAAGACTATCAGACTGAGAAACAGTTTCTTCCCTTCGGTCGTCAGACTGCTGAACTCAAGCCGCACTTAATTCAGCTACATCTTACTTTTTATTTATTTATTTAAATTTATTTCATATTTATTTGCACCCACATCTGGGATCAGGGACCTGAGTCTGAATTTCGTACCACAAAAAAGCAAATGTAATGAGCTGGTAATGACAATAAAAGTTTTTGAATCCTTGAATCTTTCTCTTGCGCATTGGTCAAGAATGTCCACATATTTTCTTTTTGTTAGTCTCGAAGCCATATTTCTGCTATGCGTTGCTCATGTGCTTGCCTACCGATGCCCTGGATCACTTCTTGTTCAGAGTTGAGGGAACTACAAGCTAATTTGCAGACCCCATTTCCTGCTTAGACTTTTTCTATCTTAAAGTACTAAAACAACATGCTATTAGAAATACAAGACTATCATGATGTAGATTTTTTTTATTTTTAAGTTAAAACACAATGAAAACCTGTTCACAATTTATGCATTTATTTTCCCAGGTTCTCCTGTCTTTCTTGTTGCTTACATTGAGCTAACAGTGAGGGAACCTACTTTATACTGATCCATCCACGGTGTTCATCTAGTGACCTTCACTTGTTTTAGAACATTTCTGAGGTTCAATTCATAAACAACTAATTCATAACCAAGACCATTTAGCAATTAATTTTTCATAAAGCAATACAATTTACAATACAGTTATCAAATATGACCTTTCTTGACTGTAAAACATTTGTTTTAGAATACAGTAAATGTACCTTCCTTCGTTGTTTGGAAATATGGGTGGATTTTTTAAATAATCAATTTAACAGCCAGTTATAAGCTTATTGAATAGATTGAAGCATAAAACAAACAGCTTTGTAATTATTCGTAATTGTACTCAAGAATAAAAACCAGGATACTTGTTCCCTTGTTGACTTGGTGTGTTTTATTGTTTTCGCAGAGACGGCGCGGCGGTGGAGATAGTTGGTCTGAGTAAATCAGCAGTTAGTTGGCTTGTGGAGCTGCAGTCTAAAGGACTGTTCCCCTATGATGGCGTTAAGGTGCACAGAGATGGTAAGGAAATAATGTTTCCACATATCAAATGCTCTGCTTGTTCCTTCTATTCACCTAGGTTAAATTCTTTGTTCTGTCACAGGAACGGATGTGTTCATCTTGTACACTGAGTGGAACAAGCAACTTCAGCAGTCCTTTGAAGTTGAATTCTGGGTGTCTGGGGACTCACAGGACCCCAATGAGAAGCACCCTGATTTGGTGCATAAAAAGGGAATTTATAAAGATAGTTATGGAGCGTCCAATCCCTGGTGTGACTACCAGCTGAGGCCCAACTTTACCATCGCAATGGTGGTGGTATGCAAAAAGCAGCGTTCATCTTCAACTTTTAGGTTTGTAAAAGTATCTAATCAGTCAGTGAAGACCCACTGTGTTTGTGTGACAGGCTCCAGAGCTGTTCACGCTAGAAAGAGCATGGAAGGCTTTGGAAATAGCTGAGAAGAAACTCCTAGGACCACTGGGAATGAAAACACTTGACCCAGAGTAAGGCTTCTTTTTCTACTCAAAGACCGCAAACATTCATTTCATTGTATAGCCACTGGATTCATGTTAATTTTTGGATTAAATTATGGAAGCCGGCATAAAAATTTCTATTTTTTTCTGACTACACTGTGTTCCAAATTATTATGCAAATTGGATTTAAGTGTCATAAAGATTACATTTTTTGTTGTGCTATTAAATTTATAGATGGTATTGTGTGTCAGGGCTCTTTGAATCACTATAATTAATTTCAGAGAAGCTTAGTTTGTCTGGTGAACTCAATTAAAGGAAAATCTACTTAAAAAGGATGTTTGACATTATTAAACAGGCCACAGGTTTCAAGCAATATTTTAAAGAGAAAGGATCTCTCTGCTGACAAAAATCATCAGATAGTGTAGTGCCATATGGCAAGGTATGAAAACATTAGATATTTAACGAAAACTGAAGCGTTATCATACTGTGAAGAGATTTGTGGCTGATTCAGAAGAAAGATGGGTTTGTGCAGATAAAGGCAAAATGAGGAAGGTTTCTTAGACAAATTCATCGGATTAAGAGAGCAGCTGTTAAAATGCCCTTACAAAGCAGCAAACAGTTATTTGAAGCTGCTGGTGCCTCTTGAACCTCAAGGTGGAGGATCCTCCAGAGGCTTGCGGTGCATGAACCTACTATTCAGCCACCCCTAACCAGTACTCAAAAGGAGAAACGGTCACAGTGAGCCCAGCCATACATGAAGATTAATTTTCAAACAGATTTGTTCACTGATGACTGCTGTGCAACCCTGAATGGTCCAGATGGACGCAGTAGTGGATTGGTGGTGGATGGCCACCACATCCCAACACGGCTGTGACGTCAGCAAGGAGGTGGTGGAGTCACTTTTTGGGCTGAAATCATGGGGAGAGAGCTGGTTGGCCCCTTCGGAGTCCCTCAAGGTGTGAAAATGACATCAGCAAACTGTATGGACTTTCTGACTGATCACTTTCTTTCATGGTTCAAAAAGAAGAGCCGTACCTTCAGTAGCAAAATCATATTCATACATGACATTACATGCTGCAAGGAATTCCTGTGTGCCCCTTTTATGGGCATAAGAGGGGAGAGACTCATGGTGTGGTCACCATCCTCCTCTGACCTCAACCCTATTGAGAATCTTTGGAGTATCCTCAAGCAGGAGATCTAAGGGTGGGATGCAGTTCATATCAAAACAGCAGTTCTGGGAAGGTATTCTGTCATCATGCAAAGAAATTAAAGCAGAAACTATCCACAAACTCACAAGTTCAATGGATGCAAGAATTGTGCAGGTGATATCAAAGAAGGGGTCCTATGTTAACATGTAACTTGGTCTGTTAAGATGTTTTACATTGAAATAGCTTATGATTTTAATACCTGCGACTACTTAATGCTGCACATTCAAAGAATGACTGTTTACAGTTCTTTTAATCCATAAATTTTTTAGAAAATCTGCTGCGCATAATAATTAGGAACAGTGCATTTTGAGTTTTTTATGTTTGAAAAAAAAAGTTTCTCATTGGCACCTTTGTTCAGTAAAATTTGATTTATACTATAATAGTTAATGACTTGAAAATTATACTGACCATCGCTTGCATTGAGCATTTAAGAAAATCTGAGAAAATATCACTTGCATAATAATTTGGAACACAGTGTAATGGGCCTGGTGTTTGACAGTGTCTGTGTTTCCATAGTGACATGGTCTACTGTGGTGTTTACGATAATGCACTGGACAATGACAACTACAACCTGGCCAAGGGCTTTAACTACCACCAAGGACCTGTAAGTAAGCGAACCCTCTCCTGGAGTCTTAGTGCATACACATTGAAAAGTTCATTACAGGAAATCAATTGAAACATTTCAATAAACACACATTCAGAAAGATCCCAGGCCGGGAATTGAACCCAGAACCTTCTTGCTGCAAGGCAACAGTGCTACCAACTGCACCACAGTGCAGCCTGGGACAGATCATGTTTTAGGTTTTTTTTTTGTTTTTTTGTTTTTTGTGATACCAACAAAAATTCTACTGTTATCCAAGCAAATCAATAAAATATCTAAGTCCGGGGTTTTAACGCGTTCATTTTTATTACTAAATTATATTGATTTGAACATGTTGAAAATGTTAACTCAATTAGTTGCATTTACACAAAAAATACAAAGGTTCTAGGCAGAACATTTGTATTTAGGGGTGCACCAATTTATCAGCCAGCCGATTTATCAATTTTAGGAGATCTGTGACTGGCCGATACTTACATGTGTTTTTTATAAAGATAGCTGAATGGGTATAAACACACTTTGTGCCAATCTGATGGTTGAATAACCTAGATAACATTAAAAACAACAAATATCTTTGTTGTTGAGCTTATTTGTCAATTTATTCAATAGTTTAGCAGCAGGAAAGGTTTTTGAATTGAAAATGTTGCTTATTTTTTTGCTATAGAGCGTTTCTTTTTTTATTTATTTAACATGAAGTATTTAAAGGCAGATGGAGAGCATTTAAGCAGACAAAAACAGTCCAACAGTAGCAGCACTTAGAACTGGATCTTTGTTAACAGGAGTGGCTGTGGCCTGTTGGCTATTTTCTCCGTGCAAAGCTCTACTTTGCCAAGAAGTTAGGGGAGGAGACCTACTCCAAGACCGTCATCCTAGTGAAAAATGTTCTGTCACAACATTACACCCACTTGGAGAGGTAATAGTTTTCAATTTCCATCTTCAGGTTTTTATTCTAGTATGATACCATTCAACCTTCATCATATTGTATGTGGCTTTCATTATAAGTTGTTTCATCCTGTGCTGCCTCAGGTCTCCATGGAAAGGCTTACCAGAGCTGACCAATGAAAATGGCCAGCATTGCCCCTTCAGCTGTGAGACCCAGGCCTGGTCTCTGGCTACTGTGCTGGAGGTGCTCCATGATCTGTAGAGATCCCATGAAGCTGTGAGCCACTCCCCTCCTCTGACTCATTGTCTGTCATCACAAAACTTTTTTGTAGGATCCCTAAAGAATCCAAGGAACAATGACATCGTCAGCCAAGTTTTCCAGAATAAGTATTGTAAGGTAACCAGGTTATTGTATCAAAGCATTTTAAGGTTAAAGCATTTTTCTCTCTCCCTGGCCCTGTTTAAGGAATCAACAAAATGCCATTTTGATCCAGTTGATCTCAAAATTTAAAAAGGTTTACAGTGGTTGTCACATTAATAAAAATTTAGACAGAGATAACACTGGAAAGCACCTGAGCTGTGTTATTGTACACGTACAGTTCAGACCAACACACACTAGATCAGCGGATTATTACTATAGTAAAGGCTTAATTTAATGAGGACTCAGGACACAACAGCTAGGAACCATTTTGGTTCCTTTTTAGGGACTGTACATGTTCCTCAAATGAGCAGCGTTCCTAATGTTCCTAGCTGTACTTAGCTGTACCTAGCTGTTCCTTTTTAGGACCTTTAAGACTTGTCCCTAAAAAGGAACAGTGTTCCTAGCTTCAGTGAATGTTGTTTTCTCCTGAATTCTTACTTTTGCTAGATGTTGAGGATTTTTAATTGAATCATGATGATACTGACCTGAGACCTCCATCAGTTCAGGTCAGGTGTTTGTGATGTTAAAGCACAAGATAGCTCTGCTAACTAAACACTGTGGAACTGGGTACCATCTGCTAATAAATGATCTAGAGTTGTTATCTTAAGTTTTCTAACCTGGTGATGGAAGCTGTACTTTTTGTCTAATTTCTTGTGTATTTTAGGAAAATAATTTTAACAAATTAAGTTGAAACAGAAATAACCTGAGTAGTAAAAAAAAATCTTTATCTATTATCTTGTTTTCAGCCTTCATGTTTTATGAAAAATGTGATTCTATTGTTGAATGTCCCAATGGAGAGCTTAGCTAACATTCTCTCCATGTTCTTCCACACTGAGACGTTTTAAAAGGCTAAACTGTTATGGTGTTAACATTTCAGAACATTTACACACTCTTGTGCTGTTGTGTGACCACATACAGTGTCGATTTCATGAAG